CATCCTTTCATTGCACTAGAAAATTTCTTTTTCATTTCCTCATCTCCTTCCATTAATGTTTGTAAATATTCTTCTATTCGTCTTAAAACTACTTTGTCTTTTACTTTACCACCAACTAATAAATATAATTTCATATCTGATTCTCCAAATTGTCTTGTTTTATTCAAATAGTAATCAACTTTCTTCACTTTTTGTTTGATTTGTTTTACTGCTTGTTCCATCACATTTAAACAGTCAGTAACACACTCAACTGTTCCATCATCAACTTTCTCTCTTTGAAGAATGAAGTTTAGGAATTGATCCCCTCGGAATAGTTTAGATTCTTCAATTAAAATTGGTGATGTTTGTTCTCCTCCCATTCTTAAGGCTAATTCAATGGCTCTTTCTTGTGTATATTTAAATCCTTTATCAGGAATGATCATTAATAATGTATTCATCAATGAAGTAGATTCAAAATTGTTTTTGACATTTGCTTGAATAGAGATTAATGTTGATAAAGTGATAATAGATTTAACAATTTTTTGGGTTGAAGATACCGTAGCAAAATAAGCCCTATCACATAGTCTAATAGGACAACTGACTGAAGCATCAAGAATATGTTGTAATGGATGATAAAACTCATCTTTCCATAAATATAATTTTGTTCCCCATTTGTCTGTAATAAAATGAATTGTTTCATCTGTTAAAACCATAGAACTGATATATTTATTTAATGACTCTTGTTGTACACCTTCAAATAATACATTGATGATAGCATCTTTCTTCCAATTTACATTATTACCTCTCATTGTATCAACAATAATTCCTCTGTCTAAACCAATAATTCCTCCAAGCTGTTGGCTTTTAATACAATTTACATACTTTTCTAATAATGCACCACAAATTTCAAAGAATTCTTTAGGTGATTTGAAAATAATATCTCTTATTCCTTCATTTAATTTTTCTGGTGCATCAATGGGTTGTGACCATTCTTCTCTTTTCTTTAATAACTTTCTTTTTCTTCTAGCATCACTTTCAAGCACTTTTGTTTCTAAAGCCTCTACAGCAATATCTTCATTTTTATTAATTTTAGAATCCTTCTTTAATAAACTTCTTAACCCTTTTAATAAACCTTCGTTTCTAATTTCTTTTTCTTCTTTAGCAAGTTGCTTTAAATCATTTTGAACTCTTTTCTTTTCTTCTTTATCAACCTTCCTTTTTTCTTCTTCTTCCTTCATTTCCTTTATTGCTTTTTCAAACTTCTTTTTGTCTTCTTCTGTTTGAGTTAACTTTTCAACTTTAAGAGCTTCTTCATGGTTTTCCTTTCTTAAAGCTAATTGGGTTCTATACAAGTCAAGATATTTACCATTTAATGTTGCACATGTAATAAATTGAATAATTGTTTCTACAATAGCATCGATACGAATTAATTTGTTACTGTCCTGTTGAGACTTGATCTTTTGAAGTACTTCAACTAATGCCTGAATATGGTTTTTAATCCTCATACTTGAAATATCAACTTCTTTGTAAAATTTAGAACGTTGTTTATCAGTTAAATAACAAAGGTTTGTCATCCAATTAACATAATGTAATAATAAATTTCCTATAGGTAATTTCTCAAAAAGATGTTTATCTTTGAATTGGTCAATAAATGACTGAGGTGGTGGTAATAAGCACATAATCATCCATAATGAATTAAAATAATATTCTCCAAGAATAAATGTTGCACTTTGAAGTATTGGATTCTTTGGTGGTTCAACAATACAGTCTCTTAATAACCCTAATAAACGTTCGTATGTTTTTGAATAATCAGCAGTATTTGTAAGCATAACAACTGAACCAAGAGGATAATGCATTCCAAGCCTTAAGTCACTAAGATAATTATCATAATTTTTATATTTAGTAAATCCATAAAATCTAATATATCCATTTGAAGGAGGAATATTGTCATGAGTTTCGACTGCAAATGATGCCAATGCGTCAGAATAATTTAATTTTTCAATAAAAGCAGGAATGATACAAGTGTCATGTACTAAGTCTCCATGCTCTTCAAATGATCTAGATAATAATGCATTTTTAATTTCATTTAACAAGTCAGCAGAAAAGTCATTGTGATATCTTAACATATAATCAAGAATTAACAATGCTCGTGTTAGTCCAACAATTCCTTTTGCAGTTAACTTAGGTGGTATATTTTGGAACATTTTAAATAACTTTCTCATATAATTAATTCTTGATATTCTACTTAAATTATGAAAGATAAATAACATCATACATACTGTTTCATAACCAATACACTCTTCTCCTTTCCACTCATCAGTTGAAGCAATTAACCGTTCTAATGCACTAAGAAAAACGTCCCATTCTTTTAAAGCTACAGGGTCATCTTTTCCTTCAATAATGTTAGTATAACTTATTCTATGAATCCATAAACGAGCAGTAAAGACAGCAAGTTCAACTGGAACAACTAAAGGATAATTATCTCTTCTTTTTTCAAGAAGAATTTGAAGGTTTGTGTCTGTGATATGTCTGTTATTAACTAACTGTTTCAATAATACACGCAAATTAGTAATTGACTCTGCGTCAGATATTAATGGTCCAAATGGTGGTTTGTTATCATTATTTAATGAAACTCTTGGAGATTGTGCAATGATAATCATCCATAATGAATCCATATGTTGTCTTGAAAAATATTGTTTGACATATACTCTTAATGCCTTACAAGGAGATTCAGCAAAGATATGAACTGCAAGATACAATGGAACAATACGAGTTAGTTCATAATCTACATCATATTTTTGATATGTTTTCATTGTTTCATCTCGATCAAACTTCATCAACCGAATTTTTTCTTTAGCCTCTTCATAACCAATACCAATAAATGAAGTTAATAAAAGTGAGAATAAGGTATCTAAAAATACTCCATTTGGTGAAAGAATTAATTCTGTTAAATATTCAAATGTCTGAACAGCAAAAGCATCAAATTTGTATGTATAAACCTCAAGTTGACAACTAATTCTTGAATAATTTTTGTAAGTTGATGCATCAACAACAGTACTCAAATTAGATTGAAGACGAGAGAAAATATCTCTAGAAAATGTAAGTGCTAATGCTGTTGAATGCAAACAAGGGAGTGGTATTTCTTCTTTATTTTGAACCATTTCTATAATTCGAGTTAGTGTTTGGTCTTTAGAAAATAAAGACCCAAATAAACGTGCAGCAATGTATGCTTCTAAATTGACATAAACAACAGGATTACCAATATGTTCTTTTAAAATAAGTGATAGATTAAATAAACACTCACAAAGATAATCACAATATGTATGACATGAAATGGTTGTTTGACATAAATGTTCATGCATTGTAACTAATACATTTGCTAATGTAACAATATCACCAACACAAGTTGGTTCAGTTGTTTCAAACTTTCTAATGAAATTTAATACACTCCTTACTAATCTCAATGCCCTTCCAACTCGTTGTTCATGAATAACCTCATCAACATGTTCTACATTCATGTCTACTTGTTCAAGAATCATCTGACAATATTGAAGAATAGCACCAATTGATAATAATTCCCAATTAAAAATTGTTTGATTTTCTTCAACTAATTTACTAAATACATTTTTTCCTTTTTCTTCCATTTCACTTTTACTCATTATATCTCCTGATGCTACAGCCCCATGAAGAAGACTTTTTAATGAAACTGTGTTCATTTGTGGTAATGCATCTGGAATTCTTGCTTTCATAGCAACAGGAATCGTTTCATGAAGTACACCCTCAACAGCTATTTGCATAATATCAGTAGTTTCTTGTGAAACAGCAAATAATGGATAACAAATATTTTGATGAGCAGTAAATAATTTCATAACTTCAATATATGAAAAGTCTTCTGAATAACCACATAATATACTAACAGCAACTTGAATTTGTTTAAAGATATAATAATTATTAATTCCATCATTAAGGTTTTCTTTTATTTCACCTGAATTAATTGATTTAATAATCTTACATGAATATCTTAAAATTTCTGTTGTAATATGTTCCAATTGTTGATAATTATTTTGTGGTTGTGTTAAACTCCATGATAAATCTACATGTGCTAATTGCCATGAAATTAATGGTAAAAATGGTGCTAAAAATTCATATTGAATTTTGTTAAGTTCTTTAGTGTCTTTTAATATTTCAACATAACAACTAACTAAATTCATATCAACTGTAGAAGTTAAAAATGTTGGTTGTTGTACACGAGCAATTAATTGATCAAAAAATTGACTTTGTAAACCAGCATTTGATTGTAACTCTTCTTTTCGTTTTTGTATCTCCTTTTTTTTAGCAGCCCTTTTTTCTAACATTTGTTTCTTCTTTAGTTCGATGTTTCGTCGGTCCTATTTTATTAATTCTAAATCTTAAAACTTTCCTTTCACTCAGAATCAACACAAACCATCTTAATGTTTTTTTCAGTTTTCTTTATTTTTTTCAATTATATTGTTTTTTCCTTATTAAATAACATTTTTACATTTTTTTGTTTTAAAAAATATAAAAATAATATAATTTTTTTAATTTGTGTTTTTAGATTATACTATTTTAAAGGAATTTCTGAATCATAATTTTTAAATGACTATTAGAGAGTTTACTTTTATTATATTTCTAGTGTTCAATTTTAGTTATGCTAAAAACCATGTTGCTGTTAGTATCAGTAATTTGCCTGAAAACATTGCTTATAATAAAACTTATTTTGATATTATTGATTATACTTTTAAAAAACATTGTGTTTCTGTTACATTACATGCTTATCACCAGACTCAAATAATATTTCTACAGTTCATATCATTCATAACCAGATGATGAAGGATGGAACAAATTATGCAATTATTGGAGACACTATTACTTCTACAACAAGTGAATTAGTTATATGCCAAGATTCTTATGTATTCAAGCAAAAAGGTTAAGAAATACCAATCACCAGTAATTCAGCAACTTCTGATACTCTTTCTAATAAAAATGACTATCCTAATTTTATGAGAACAATTCCGGTTGACTCAGCATTATATCAATCAATTATTGAATTTATTCATTCCTTTAAAAAGAAAAAAGTTGCAATGATTTATACAAATGATCCAAGTGGAAATTCAGGATATTTTAGAGTAAATAAATTATGTAATCAAAAGAATATTGCACTTCTTGATATTCAAGATAGTGAAAATATGCCAGACATAGGAAATTTAGATGGTATTAATACAGTTATTAGCAATATGTATATGGAAGAATTATTTGATACATGGAAACGCTTTCCAAAAATACCAGAAAAAAAATGTTGGTATCACCAGATGTTACAATGGTTATTAGTGAAGCAGACTTTGAGTTAAATGGATTTAAAGAGGTATTAAATAACAAAACAAATGTTGTTATTGCAAGTCTCTTTTCTGAAATTAATGATATCTGTAAAGAGTTGTTTGTTTTCTTTTCTTTTGTACTTCAATAAAAACTTCAATCAGAAGTATGGCAATTAAAAAAGACAAAAAGTCATTTAATTCTTTAAATTAAAGTAGAAACAAATTAACATTAATTAGAGAATCAAAATTTGGAAACACTTTACCACCTCTTGGAAAAGGATATTATGATGTCGTTGTTTCACTTGTTGAAGGTTGGAAAAAGTGTGGAAATACTTATAATTTCACTAAATTTATTAGTTCAAAATTCACAGGCACAACAGGTAAAGTTTTATTCGATTCAAATGGAGATATAATTGGAGTGATGGGAATAAGTCGGTTATTGCTTGGTAATAATAGGTATCCTGTTATTTCACAGTTTGAAAATAATACCATTAGATTTGTCTCAAATTGTCAGTCTTTCGTGATAGGTTGTACTGAGTCTGATATTCAAAATTCTTCGACAAGACTATTAATGCTTTTTATTACATTTTATATTTTTATATTGTGAGTATAATAATTGTTGAATATTTTTGTTACAGTAATCTTTAATAATTAGCAAACATAACTTCTTTAGCAAATACTCAAAATAAACAAAAACGAAAAGTGAGATTTAGCTTTGATCAAAAGATTAAACAGATAGACAAGAAGAATATTTCTGATATGGAAGAGTCTACATACCACAGTGAAGAAAGTATTACTTCTATCAAAGAGTTACAAGAAACTATAGACTATGGAAATACCAAATCTGTACTAGAGTTAAACAAACACTATGATAATAATAGACAAATTCAAAATTCTTTAAAGCATAACATTTTATATCCTCTTAAAAAAGAACTAATTATAAACAAACACCAAGAACGTGAAGAAAATATACAATATCAAGAAGAACTACTACGTTTAGAAAGAAAGGCAATCAAACTAGCCAAAGAGATTGTCAAAGGGTCATGTCTTGAAAGATATTTAAATTCAATTAATTGTCATTGTAAACATTATGAAGAAGAAAAAGTACTAGAAAAACTGAGAGAAATGAACCTAGATTCTGTTATCGAAAAGATTCAATTAATAAACAATTAAATTATTCATTACATCTCTTCAACAAAACAATTAAACTAAGAGTAAAAATATTTTTAAAGGATTGTAAAGAACAAAAAAACTGTATTTATTCTTTTACAAATAAATTATTTTAAAGTTTTACATTTATTTAATTTAACAATGATATACATCACAACATATGCTTTCACACTATAGGAAGTAAAATAGAAAGTGAAGATTTATGGAATTTGAAAATAACTATAATTATTTTATATTATCTTTAATATTCATTATTATCTTTGAGTATTTAGATATTTGTTATTATTATTTTGAATGATAATTATTTTTCATTTCAATATTTCTTATCTTTATTAATTTTATTCTTTCTCAAATTTATATTTTCATTCATTAAACATAAAACATCTTGATCAAAATTGTCATTTAATAAATTAAATTTGGTTTTATAGTTCTACTCTGTTATCTATAAATGAAATGTTATTTCTAAATTATCAATTACTGAGTCATTAATAATGAATTATTAAATATGAAACAATGCTATCAATATCATTAATAAATTATTTATTTGTCATTTAAGATAATAACTTATTTTACATACTGTATCATTAATATCAATTGATATTAAATGAGTCAATATCAATTATAATAAAATTGTCTACATTCATATCCTTTATCATTATTTGTAATTTTTCAATATAAATTAATATTTATTTGTAATAAAATATGTTTCAGTGAGTGTGACGATGAAAAGTCCATAAAAGTATATTTAAATGAATATTGAGTCACAAAACAATGAATATAATTATCATCAAAAAGTATGCAGATGAAATGTATTTGTTATGATATTACGTTTATTTATTCTGAATTTATAATACAACGTATAATAGTTGATTATTAATTTCGATATAAATGTTATAATTTATAATTATAATCTATTTCTAATTGATCAAAATTCACATTATTAGATGTGTTCGTGTTGTAATATTAAATAAAATCAATAAATATACGATTAATAATAAAGTTAATTGTTGTTATGATGATAATATTTAAAAAAACAGTAATAACAGTTGATAAATTTGAATAATCAATTGATATTTCATTATTTAATATATTTATTTATCGTATTATCAATAACAATATTCATTATTATATCAATCACATTTTTGTTCAATCACTTAGTTTTGTCTTATTTATTCAATTAAAAACAAATCATAATGAAAATATGAATTTAATTCATGAAACACAGTCTCATCATTCATCATTTTAAAATGTAAATTAATTTGTTTATAAAATAAAAAATACATTTGAATATCAATCAATGATGATGTATAATTTACTTGATACAATTATCAAATCCTCTTACATTTCTCTTTTCAATGAACATTGAACAAAAATAAAACAATGAAAATTAATAACTAATCACCTGAAAAACATCATGAAAACAACAGATTCAAACGTTACTCAAAAATTAATTAATTCATATTGTAAACACCTTGTATTTTGTATTGTCAGAATGTATAATCAAAAAGATATGTTAAATAAATGTTGAATTGGAACATACAAAAAGAATAAGCAATGAAAATAAAAGAAGTAGCACTATTTCATATTCTCATAAATTAATATCACATGAACAAAAAATTAAATAGTTTACAAACATGAAATAGAATAAATGAAAGTCTGATTGATTAATAAATATTTTTCAATTAATAACATCAAATAAACATATAAACCAATATAAAAATAAAAGAATAAAAAATAAAATACTATATTCATTTTATTTTGTTGGTTATACTAAAAAGAAGATAACAGTCAAATACAATAAAATAATATAAAAGAATAATAATGAAAACTTTCTTTCATTTAAATAAAATAATTTATTATCATTGCTATATCATTACTATTTTATTTATTATATTACTTTTAACTGAAATATACTTCATCTACTAAATTAAACTTTCAATAAAATAATTCTTTACAAAAAGTAATCAAAAAATTTCTTAAATGGAATAAATAAAAATGACTATATCCCCAGAAGATACATTAAAATAATTTTAATTAATTTAAAAAAAAAGAGTCAACAAACTTTAATAACTGGAGACAGTCTTTGTTAAAGAAGGTTTAAAGAAGAAATAATTAAAGTAATATGACGTCAATTTTTTAAAGAAAAAAATAACTTAAAAACAAACATAATACACTTTTTAATGATTTAAATCAGAGTTAACATATAAAATTTTGCTAACAAAAGTATTTTATAACCAGAAAAGTGATTAAATTAGTTGAATTTGATATTTAAAATAATAACAATAATTTTTGTATTGTTTAATTAAGTTTAATTCATTATGATTATTGAAAAAAAATATTTATTATAACAAAACAAGTTTAAAAAAATATTCTAATCCAAATTGAAACAAATAAATAACTTATATGTATTAGTACAACAAATAATGGTTTGTAACATTAGTAAAACATCTAACAATAACTTAAATAGATATTAACTTTTATATAAATTAAATAAAGAATATAATTGAGCATGATAAAAAACACAGTTAAAGTTTGTTAGTACGCCAACGAAGAAAAAATTAATTGGATAAGTTTAGTTCATTTGTTTGTAGTTCCATAACTTTTTGTCTAAGAATACAACACTCTTTTTTTAAACAGTCCACAGACAATCTTAATTCTTTATTTTCACCTTCAAGTTCATACTCTCTATCAATCATCCAACTTGTCATTTCTTCAGCAGCGTTAATTACATTAGCACTAACAACATCTTTTTTTCCTTTGACTATATCAAAGACAGTTTCAAATCCATCACCAAATACATTTGAGATTCGGTTCATTTCAGACCTAATCACTTGAACTATATCATTGTAACTTTCATCTTGTTCTGACCGTTTAACCCCTTTAAATGAAGTTGCAAAAGAAAGAGGTCCAGTAATAATACCTCTATACAATGTATTAACAGAACTAATAAATAATGTCTCTTCTCGTGTAGTTAATGTTTCATGTCTATCATCACTATGCCTTGAAAAGATCTTACCGTTTGCCATTTTTAATAAACTTTGTAACTTCTTTAATAATTGAGGAGTTTGAGCTAATGGTGGAAGGATAAAACGAAGGAACATTAATGTTTCTAATACATGTTTTGAAGCCTCCTCTCCTCTACTAAGGTAGACTGAATTGTATATATGTCTTAAAATATAACGTAAATGAGGTGGCAACAAACAGGTATTTTTTGTAATTGAGACTGCCATTTTTTCTAACACATCTTTAATAGTACAAACCAACAATAAACCATTTAAAGAATCATCTCCTGTTAATACACTCGGTTGGTTTTTTGTTTTAACTTCTTTAATTATCTCTTGAATTGGAGAAATGATGTGTTGAAGAAATTCATTACAATAATTCTTTAAATATTCTGAAAATACTCGAGTGAAAACACTGTTTCCTCTAAAAAGTTCATTATTATAGTTAGTTGTTTCAATTTCAATATCAGAGAGGTTAGTAATTAAATGAGTTAACTTTCCTCTTGACCTGAAGAATTTAAGCAAAATACGAATATGATAACTATTGTAATCACTTTTACTTATTAACTAAGTAAAGTGAGTAGAATATTCTAACTGAAAATATTTGTTGAGATTATTAAATCAATATTCTCAAATAAAATTTTTAATAATAGTAACAAACTGCTTGAGAGTATGAATATAATAAACGACTATTTTTTTCTAAAAACATTGATGCTAAAACTTCTTCATTTGATGGTCTTAAAGTATTAACATGTCTATCAACTTGTCTATGAATGGTATGTAAGTATTTTTTAACTGGTGTATTTATACCTTCAGTTGAACAACAATAAATGGGGGATTGACAAGTGTTATGACTTCCAATAGAACTTTTTGAAGAACAAATTGAACCATCAGGTGTCATGCTTGCAGAATTTGATATTTGTAATGGTTGGTCTTGACTAAGGAAAACATCAGAAGAACAGTTAGGGACACTAGTCTTTCTCCTAAGAGTACGAGCCATATCAAAGCAATTTAATTGATGATATTCTAAGATTTCAATCTTAATTTATTTCATTTCCGAAAATAAATTAATGTTCTAAATATAAAACATAGGGGGTCAGAATAACACTTTCATTTTAAAAATTCAAGCTTTTAACTCTTTCCTTTTAATTTCGTAAATTATTATTTTACATTCATTTTTTTAAATGAGTCTTTTTAGGCTTTTCTTGGATTGGTTATCATCATTCACCAACTCATACCAAAATCAGACTCATAAAAAAATTTTTTATAAATATTGTTGTTATTTCAAAAATAATTACGTTCCAAATTTTTCTTATTGAGAAAATGAGAATTGATAATACAATATTATTGTCAAAAAAATTCAATAAAAAGCTCTTCATTAATTTCATCTCTTTTTTTTTCTATCTTTTCGTGTATAATCAAAATATCACTTTTTTATTTATTCATTTTCAACCTATGTTAATAGACAAAACCCACTCCATAACGTGTTTATTTAGTGTTTTGTAGTATTGATTTGTTTTAATATTAACTTCATCTTACAAAATGAAACATTAAAACAATATTTATTAAAATAAAACTTATTTTGATTTATAACTTTTTTTCATTTTCTTTTAACATTAACTCCAACCAAAATATATTTTTTTTTCTTATTTTTATCTCTAAATAAACCCAAATAATAACAACTTATTCTTTAGAGTTTTATATTTTAAAAAACATTCAAAGACGTGTATAAATGCCATACACCGTTTGGTTATTGGTTTTCAAAAAAGTCTAATAAAAAAATAACAACATTGAATGATCTTAAGATTTTTTCAAGTTATTTTAGAAAGAAAACTATAATAAGAAATGATGATGACGTCTTAAATAAAAAATTGGGTTAATGTAAAATAAAGATAAAATTTTTTTTATAGCCAAATCATACTTATTTAAAAAAATATCTTTTTTAGAGTTGCTTCAAAATGTTTTACGCAGACTTGCTAACATATCCTTTCATGGCTATATAATTCTGCCATCTTTTTTCAAAAAAAAAAAAACGACAAAAGAAGAGACTAAGAAAATACTCATTTCGTTGTATGAATCTATGAAATTTTAAAAAAACTAATACTCCGAAAAATAAGGATAGAAAAAAAATGATGAAGAGTATAATTTATTTTCCTGTGAGAACGAAGAAATTTATTAGTCTTTTTTTTTTCATTAAAAAGACAGTTAATTGTTGATCAATTTATTAGCAAAACTAATTCATTAGAATTAAATTATTGTTTTGACAATAATCCTGACTGAGTTGTTTTGGTTTATTCTACTTATATTCCATTAATACAATCACTGATAAATAACTCTCAAAAACATTAACTATTTCATAGCCCAAATAAAAAAAGAGATGTCTATGATGTGTTTTAAAAATGTAGTATTAAATTGATAGGTGTTTTGATACACAATGTGATGAATGTGTGTAACTTAACTAAGAACCATTGTGCAACTGAAATAACAATTTTATTTCAATATTTATGCTACTTTATGTATATCTGTCATGTTATACCTGATTAATTCTTCCTTTTCTTCTCATTATTATTTTCAACTAAAGCATTTAAACTACACTACTTAACATTATTGTTTATTGTTAAATCTTTGAAATTAACTCATAGCCATTTCTCACAGCTTCAATCACTTCTTCTATAACTTTAGTCTACTTTTCTTCTTGTAATTTTTTATTCACATACAGACAGGAATACTATTTATTGTTTAACCTGCTCAGATTTGATAAGACTGGTGATTAATGAGAATAAAAAAACAACAAATTAAAGCTCAAAAAACAATTTAAATCAATAGAAGAGAAAAACCACACTTTTATATTATAACAAATTAATACATCAATGAGAAATAAAAAAGTAAAAGAAAGTTTGTATAACACAAATCCAACACCTAAGCAACACAAAAATATCACTTATTTAACACCATTTATGAAAAGGAAAAAGGTTAATAGAACTTTAGTTCTCTTTTATATATTTTCTCATCAATAATTCTTTTTAAATTTGTTGCTGGGGAAATAATTCAATTCATTATTTAGTTACAATAACTATCATAAACACTAACCAGTGATAATACTTTAACATTCATTAATTTGAATTGAACCTAAACCTTCTAAATACTCTCATTAAAAACTTTTGTTGATACAGAACTATGTTGAATTTCTTTTGGTATATCGCCTTTTAAGAAAAGAAACAAAAAAGAGTTTCAACTTCATAAGGCAAAACAAAACTTCGTCATCTATTATTAAAGCTCTCAAAGAGAGTTTTTTCAAATTTTATTCAAGAAAAGAAAGAAAAAGAGGAAAGAACTAA